GTGGATCAACCCTTACTGCTGTACCACACGCTTGGGGTTAAACAAATTATAAATTAAAAGTGTTATCCAGAATTTTTTTTATTAATAAAAAAATAATCAATAATTTCTTAGAAAAAATTTAAAGCCTGTATTTGTCCGGAATAAATTTCAGTCCTTTACCATTGCTTTGTTTATCTATTTTGTATGTTATTGCAGTTCAAGAAATTATTTCCGCCAACAAAATGGGCTGCAGAGTTTAATGCAGCATTGACAGTGCCTTTCTTCGAATGGTTGGTTGGCCCATCTGAGGTAATCTTATATTTGGGGATGTAATTTCCATTCATTTTGATTCCTGAATTTATAAACTGCTATCATATTAGTTTTTTGAAATAAAAAAATTATAAATTTAATATTTAAAAGTGTAAATTGACAATCATGTTATTGTAAACCTCAAAATTATCTTGTGACTAAAATGGTACTGTTGATGATACATATTTTGGAACTAAAGTGACCTACATTCAAGGACTTGTATTGATAAAAAAATATTTAAGGACTAATTTTGCAATTTCTTTGTTTCTAAGATTAAGGTGATAGTGTTTTCCAAATTCAAGAATCAAAGTATGTTTCCTCAATTTATATTGCTATGCCTCCAATTATAATTTTTTTTTCTCTAACCCACAATGCCTTTGGTTTACCAAGAAACGCATACACGCTCTCCAGTTCAAGCTTTGGGATTAACTATATTTGCTTTGCTTGTTTTGATTCACAAATTTTTCATTACATTACATTCTCCGGGGAGCAACAGGTAATGTTTGCCAAGAATAAAATAAAACTGCGTAAGTTTATGTGCTAAATGTTGATTGTACAAAGACATCCAGGAACATGTTTGTCGAACTTTTCATTGACATACTGCTGTTAAAGAAACCACGCCGCATCTCAATTTTCAGATCATCTAATGATTCTATCATGCATACCTAAACTTCTCCATGATATGTAATGTTGTGTTGTGCTAGTTTGTAGATTTGTAGAATTGGATTACTAGATATTAGAGTAAATTACAACTAACCTCCTTGATGTTTTAAGCCATTTTCAACTCTCATCTATGAAGTTATTTTGTAACAGCCCTTGATGTTTGGTTAAAATGAAACGTGTAAAATTTTCCATTAACTTAAGCATCTTACACCTACAATTAGAAGTAAATAAAGACAGCTTGCTAGTAACTTAACATACTTTTCTAAACCTACAAGCTTTTCAAGTTAGTATGGGACGTCAATTAATAAAATTAAACGTTTTTCATTCTTGCTCAAACATTAAGATATGTTGTAAAATTGTAAACTTTATGTATCATAATCGAAAATGCCAAATGGCTGAAATATTAAGCGGCTTACCCCTTATGTTATCGTATTATATTTTCTGCTAATATTACTTAGTGCTATCGTTGATATTTAGATTCTTGAGATGCACTAGGTTGTGGAAGTAGAGGTAAATGGAGTGAAGCAAAAAAGTGGCGTGCATATAAAGAAGTGCAGGTAGATTTCATGTCTCTGAGATTGGCAATTCAATCTGTATTTCCATTAAAGCGTGTAGATATTAGATTCATCTTTGTAATGGCAGCGATAAACTGGGGTTGAGAGGCCTGAAAACGAACGACTAATAGCTATTTATTTTGAAATTTACTAAAAATGGCATAAGTTCAGACCCTTGTAACAATTTCATCATTTTTCCATTGTTTCCTTGAAATTTATTCTTGTGAAGGTACCTGGAGAATAGTGGCTGTGTTGGAATGTGTGTCAATATGTGCAAGATTCCTACCCAAGATTTTTTCACTAATGAATTTGGACTTCCGTTAACAATGATTCCTAGTACGTTCTTCTTGCCTTTGATTACTGGCCAAAAATTAAGGCCCACATTCTTGGCTACGTATATATGACTTACACAAAAAAATTATTGGATTATTTTTTTAATTTAAAAATTAAGCAAGGTCATTTTAAACTTTTGTTCACATGTATCAGATTTTGAAGACATGAGCTGTGATATGGTGTATGGCCAAGCCCCACCTACATTTGAAGAGGACCCTGTTTCCATTCAACCTTGCTATGCGGATATATGTAAGTATGATCTCCTGTTGTTCAATGAATCAAAAGATTTTCGTATTCTAACTTGGTAATGACAATGGCAGGTTCTATGGCAAATTCAAGCACCAGTGTGTGCCCTAAACTAAAGGCATGAGAAGGCATATCTTTCGGATTTAATTTTCCATTGCAAAATTAGTGTCTATTACGGTTCTATTTCGACCCGAGGTGCTGTGCTGTTACAAGTCTAGCTTCAGAAAATTCCATTTACAACCCGTGTAATAATACCAGTCTTATTAGGCTTTTCCTTTTCTTCTTTCACATAGTTATTACATTCACCGAATGAGAGGACACTGTCTACAAAATACTGCATGTAAATTTGTAATTATAGTACCAATTATCAGTATTGCAAAATTGTACAGAATTTTTGGCCATGCAGAGGGAATTCCACATTCACGCCTTTGGATAACCACAATAATGAAATACTGATTGTCTAAATCTTGTAATTAGTTCATATACCAGTTAGAGTTTGTCTGGAAACAAGTTTAAAAGTGTTTATGATAATTTTTCTATTAAAAAGTACTATATATTGAGTAGAATAATTCTCGAAAGTGCTTTTAACTTACAGGATTTTAATTTCTTTTTATCATTTCAGTTGGTATCTGTTATGACAGTAACCTTCATTCTTGAGTCCCTGGGTTGTTATATATAGCACCTGATGTGCAAACCTTCAATTTAATTCAATGGAACCTCTTTTCTCTAATCGTGTTAGAGCTCTATCTTGGAGATCTACTGTGCAAACTCGCTTATCAATGCTCCACAACAATAATTATGGTGATTCTGTTAGGAATAAACTTATTTTTCTAGATAGAGCGAGACCTGTTTTCACGCATTTTTAGAATATAATTGTCGACAAGCCATGGGTATGTATTCTCCAGCATAAATATTTGGGTCCGAGTTTGTCCTCTCGACTACTCCCTTCCCAGGAGCTTTTTATAAGGACTTATTTAGATAAATATTTTTTAAAGTACTTTTTAAGAAAAAAAAATATAAAAAAAAATAAATAAATTTATCTATAAATTAAAACTAGTTTATACAAGAATTAAAAATTAAATTTTAAAGATGCTAGTAAGATAGAATTTTTATACATTAATTTATGTACAAGCTAATTTTAATTTATGAAAAAATTTATTTAATCTTTTTCTTGGTATTTTTCTTTGTTAAAAGTATTTATGAAAAAGTTTTATCCAAACAGACTCCTACGAAAAGGATTTAAACTGAAGTTGAAGGAGGGGAACTCCTCAGTTTTCTTTTCAAATTGGTTGGATTGGGGTTTACTAGGACACCCTTTGTTCACATCTCTATCTAACACCCAACTGATTATTAGGGACCTTTGGATGAAGGGTAATTGGAACTTGAATAATAGTTTTATAGTTAGGATGGATGTTGTGTACAAGAGGATTCTTAATACATCTATCCCTCGTGTACCCAGTGGTTCAAATCAAGGAAATGCTATCACAGGTCTGAGATTGCAAACTTGTGCATGTTTCAAAGGAGTGAATACAGTAGCACATATTTTGGTCGAATGGGGCTCGCACTCGTTGGATTGAGATAAAAAAAAAAAAAAAAAAAATCAAATCCTTCAAATGATGGCTTAGTTGCATGCAGAAAAGATTTACTTGCTGTTTTTTTTTTTGTTTTTTGCTTTGGTTTTCTCATTCACCAAAAAATAATATATTTTTAGTAACTAATATTCTTCAATAATATTTATTATAAATAAAAAATATTTAAATTTTATGTACTTTTCAATCATAAAATTATAATTTAAAAATTGATCACCACACAAACCAGTCACATCTCATATATTTCATATAATCATTAACATTTTAAAATAATTTATTATTTAACTTCAATAAAAAAAATTAACTTTATTTTTATTATTTAAAATGCATATTGTTCTTACCGGAAATCTGCTGTAGAGCTGATCCGCCGGGTAAGATCGGCGAGCCTCCTTCACTGGTACGCTGGTACTCCAAGATGGGGGTGGTACCTGCAAAAGAGACTTCGATGCTAAAGTTAGGGTTTGCACGAATAATAGTCTCATATATATAATGTACGTACCTTGAGGTGATTTAGGGTTGCTTTGGGCCTTGGGCCTGAGATTCCCGGGTTCCGGTGTGATTAGCCCGAGCTCCGGGCTGTTATTGTTCGGTGCGTGCCCGGTATGACCTTTGTTTCGCTAATCCGGGCTCAGAGCCCGGATGCGGAATGCGGTCAGTACACTAGCCCCCCGAGCTCCGAAAGCCGTAGGTTGAGGAGTTAAGACCGGGCTTGCTAGAGAGGGAGTGACTTAGTGCGTGCATTAACTGGAGCTTCGCCACGTGGCGTGGCTGTTCACTTCTAAAACGTGCGGGCGGCGCACTAGAGGAGGTGGCGATTATGCGATTGATGGCTTGTATTTAATGTTTTGTCAGGCGTGTCCCTTGGTCGACACGTGGCCTGGCAGTTTTGAATTTCGGGGAGAGACTTTTCCTTTTCTCGCGCCTTTGCCCTTTTCACTTTACTCTTTTTCTGTCTTTCAGCTTCTTGCTCACGTCTCGTCTGGCGGCAAGTCTTCTGCCCCTGCTAGGGGTAGGGTACGTGGCAAGGCGGTGGTCGCCGCTGAGGCAAAAGGGGTACCTCCGTCTGGAGACTCAGAGCTGGGCATTCCTAGTTATGAGTGGGTAAAACGCGAAATGGCCAGGTTTGCGAGTGTCTTCGACTCGAGCCTGGAAGTCGATGCGTTGTGGGAGACGCACAGGATTTGTGACCCCTCCGTCTCTCAGAAGATCCGATTGGAGCCTTGTTCGGCTGGCGAGGGTGTGTACATGAAGAGGTCTGCTGATTTCCCCTCATTTTATGTATATGAGAGCTTTTTCAGAGATTTGGGTGTTTGCCTTCCCTTTACGCAGTTCGAATGTGATTTTTTGAACTATATTAATGCGGCCCCCAGTCAGCTGCATCCCAACAGCTGGGGCTTTTTGAGGGCGTTCGAGATCCTGAGCGGAGTTCTAGGGATGGAGGTATCCCTGCCGGTCTTCCTTTCTTTTTACCAGTTGAAGGCGGGTGGTCCTACATACGGGACCCTGTCTCTAAATGGAGGTAAGGAGGGGGGTCTATTTACCCCCTACTCCCCTTCATATAAAAATTACAGGCAGGAATTTTTCCGGGTTACTCTTGTGGGTGTCAACCCTTCGGAGGACGGGGGATTCTACTTTGGCGGGTTGCCAAGGTTTCCCTTCTACTGGTGCCATGACCCTGTTGGGTTTCATGGGGTGGATCCATCGAAGTTAACGCCGTCGGAGACGGCTGCTGTTGAAGCTTTAAAGGCGCTTCCTCGTCCGTTGGACTGCAAGCTCATCCTGTCGCTCGAGCGTTCGGTGCACAGGGAGAGAGACTTGGAGGGTGCGTATTTTGTTGTTTTTGTTTAGCTGTTGGGGTTTTATGCCCGCTGATGTGTTCTGATTTCTGTACTTAGGTATTGTGGGAAGGGACCTGTGGCGTGGCTGGAAACGGCGCTATGGCTACCGTGTGGCCGGGCTTGAGGATCTTGAAGCTAAGGGGGAGGAGGGGGTTTCCCCCCTGAAGATGAACCGGAAGAGGAAAAGGGTCCCGGTAGAGACTGTGGGAGTCGCTGCCCCTCACGGGGCGGAGGGGGTTGATGCAGGGGCCACCGGTGCCGAGGCAGCGGGCTCAGTTGGTACCTCTCTAACGGAGGGGGGAGCTCGGGTGGCGGAACCAGATGTCGAGCCTCTCTGCCCTTCTACTGGAGTGCCTATGCAAGCTACCGGACGAGGGGTAGGGATTATCTGTCACCTTGTTAGCTTTTCCTTTACATGGTTTTGCTTCATGTTTTTGAGTTGGGATCGTTCCTCGCAGGTGGAGGCTGTCTTTGGGTCGACTTCCCGGGCCGTAGGCCAGGCCGGTGTGGTTCTTGAAGCGGAGATTCCAACCGTTGGGCGGCTCGCTTCTGTTGTTGAGGTGGGCAGCGTGTGGCTGTGATATGCTACTTTGTTGTTCCTCTTGTTTAGTTGGTGAAATTTTTATATTTTTTGTAGGCGGGAAGGACCGCAGGGGTTTCTGATGGTCGAAGGTCACCGGTGGTGGGGGTTAGCGTCCCGGCGACCGGGCCAGCGGCCTCCTCCTCCTCAACCGGTCATCGTGGTGAGGGCTCTGGTTCTGGGGATCCGGCTCCTGTGTTAACTTCATCATTTGTATATGTTTGACCCTCTTTAAACGTCCCCAGTGGGGTCGCCATCTGTCGCAACCCGAAAATTTCCGATCTCGCGACTAATGGTTTAGACATCCTTTTAAAGATCTCATCAATTAAGGAATGCCCGGACACCAGACTAATCCTTAATTAATGATTTTAAAAATAGGTTCTTGGAGTCGCCACCAATGTTTTACTCAAAACATTGGAAAAAGAAAAAGTTTTTTAAAAATTCAATAATGGCCTTGATAACCAGAATTGGGTTCAGGGGTCGGTTATGTGTAGAGAAGGTATTAAGCACCCCTACAGCACCCTCAATCGGTACCCTATGATGAAGTTAATGTGATAAGAAATAATAAATTAAATATTAGATCCCCTTTATGAATTACTATTTACATGTTTGAAATTTAAATTACACGGTTGACCCTAAAACGTCTACATGATTGCTTTTGTTATAAC